CATTTTAAAAGAAAAAAAGTTTTTGATAATATTTGTGTAGATTGACTACAAGTTGTATAACATAAATTTCTACGACCGGTCTACCTAGTGGTCTGCAGCATCGCCTTGTGGTGCAAACGTGGGTCTGTTAATCTGTGACGTGACGCACAACAGCCAAGAAAAACAGAAGCGTGGCTAAGAATTTAGTAATTTAAAAAAAGTCTTTTAGATACAGTAGTAGGTATTAAAAAGTTTTGTGTTTAAATGGGGTTTGCCTTTAACATTTAAAAAATTATATCGTAAAGTGTAACTTTCCGTAAGAATTCTTTTTTTTGCTTGCTTGTTTTACGGATAGGCGCGATCGCATAATTATTATTGATAATGTTTTATTTAATTTTAACATTACTACTTTTTCAGTGAATCTTTAAATCTGTTGTTTTTTGTTAAGTTCGTTATTTAAACATATGTATGTAATACACTCATATTAACACTAATCATATTTTTACGTTTTTATTCATCATTTTCAATGCCCCCCCGGTTGCATCTTTGTAAAGGATTGTGAATTTTTAAATTTCAGGGTTCAAAATATACTACCCCTAAAAATATTTGCACTTATTTAAGACCCATCCTGTATAATCTACAGATCGACGACGTTCCGATGTCCGATCTAACAATAAGTAATCCGATTCTATAAGAAATTAATAATTTCAAGTTTCAAATTGTTTCGAACTTAAAAAAATGAAATCTCTATTTTCTTGCTCGAATTAAAAATATAAAAGGACAAAACGTATCTCATTAAAAGTTAAACCATATTGTCTCTTATTTAATTGCAACATTTTGCTGTCTTTCTAAATACCCTTCGTCTTCTTTTCGCTTGTTGATGTCATGTAAACAACCTCATTGATGCGAAAATAGCTTATAAAGCCTCTTTAGCAAAGTTGAATTAAAAAAGTTTCGCTTTAATCTGCGTTTAATCTGATTATATTGTTTTATTATAGAAGTTGCTGGCCCTAAAGGGCACGCCTCGGTCCGACAGATTTCAAAAGTTATTTGCTTATCTTCTTTTCGTATCTTGATGGTGTATTTTGGCTTAAATAGTTGAAAGCTTTAAAACTCAAACTAGACCGTATGATTGGAAATACGGTAATTAAGGAGGTTATGTCGCCTATTCAAGTCTCCAATGAAACTTATACGAAGCGATCAACAATGATTGGATTTTGCTCATTTGGTTTGGTAATAAATATAAAATAAATCTAATATTTATCACCTGTTATCAGCAGTGGCGGCTCGTGGTCATTATTGTAGGGAGGTCAATATCTAAAAATATTGCGTCGATTTTTTTTAAGACGCGCCCAAATTTAATTGGTTTCTTACCAGGTACTTGTACGTTTAGTTAGTTAAAGGATAATAAATCTAAAAATAAATGCAAATTATGTTAAAATGAAACCTACCCTTACTTTTTTAAACAGGTGGTCATTGCACGATTTTACAAACTAAATACTATGTTGTTTATTTGAAAATATCTATTCCAGAATCAGTCAACAGTTCATTTATCCATAACCAGAAAATTATGAATTATTATTACCTACACAAATTTCGCGCTACACCTCAAATCCTCAGCTACGACAAAGCTACGACAACTAAAACTAGATCGGATTTTTTTCGAAATTAAAAATATAAATATTGATTTATATTGACTAAACCAAACATTATACGCGATACGCGATAAACGATACAAAAACCTGTGTTGTTTTATAATTTAAGTATTTATAAACACCCAAAGTGCCCAAACGGCGAAAATTTTCCAGCAATGTGACTGAAATCCTGTTATGAATGACGTGGTCAATGGCCAATATAAACTATATCTATCGCACCTTAACCCATTATATTTTCTATCCGTAGTATATCTTAACTTGTTTGGCGTCACCAGCCGCGGTATTTGTTGTTTAATACGTGTAAAATACAGCGGGAACAAAGGACAAAATGAAATTTTGACCGCCATGCGCCAGTAGGGAAAATGGGTTAAATAAAACGTTTTCAAGCGAAAATTGCACAAATTGAAGATTTTTGTGAATAGTTTTGAATATCTTAGGATGAGAAAAAGTGATTTACAAAAAGCATAATTTAAATAGGTTTTTCTAAATTTCTCCTGATTTTTTTTTGGGAGGGGCATTGACCATTTGATCTCATGGTTAAGCCGCCGCCAAGGTTATCACTAGCTTAAAAACAAACCAGAAATTAAATGATATGATTAATTCTTTGTAGATCGTGTCATTGATCGATGATATGATTAATTCTTGATTAATTTGTGTAGATCGGAATAAAATACCTAATGAATGGAAGTTAGCCTATATCACTTCTATACAATAAAAAAGGAAACAGAAAAGACCCGAATAACTACAGAGATCTTAGTGTGAATTGCACCTTCAGCAGACTTTTTACAAAAATAATTAGGAATAAGTTAGAAATATCTACTTAAACAAAATCAGTGAAGAGCAGAGTGGCTTTACTGCAGGGCGTTCATGTATAGATAATCTATTTACTATCCAATAACTGATAGAAAAACGGAATTCACGTGAAGAAGATACACATCTAGCTTTTGTAGACCTTTAAAAAGCTTACGACTCCATCCCCAGAGTTAAAGTATGGTACATACTGGAACAACTTGATGTGGATGAATGTCTCATAAATTTAATTAAGGTGCAACAACAACACAGCTCGTGTTAAGAGCGGTAACAATCTGTCTGAGGTAATTTTTACAACTAAAGGCCTACGACAGGGATGTCCTCTGTGGCCTCTGTTATTTAATCTGTATTTGAAAGTGGTTCTTAGGGACTGGAAGAAGAGATGTGGGAATGGACGTCTCTGTAGGAGATGACTGTTTGGTTACATTGAATTTTGCCGATGATCAGGTGGTCATAGCTCAAGATGCTTATGACCTTGAATTCATGATGAGCAGGTTAAATTCGGCATACACGGAATGGGGCCTTACTGTGAACATTGATAAAACGGAATACCTGGTGACCAATTCAGATGATAAATTTGATATTTTTATTACTGACAATGCAAAGCTCAGACAGGTTGAATGGTTTAAATATTTGGGGGCACGTATAACCAGAAAGGGATTGGACAAAACAGAAGTATTTGCTAGAATAGAACAAGGGCGGAAGATTATAAGAGCACTGAATGGCATCTGGTGGGACAAAAACATAAGACCAAACATAAAAATATATATTGGAAGAGCCCTAGTGGAGTCGGTAGTAACTTATGGGTGTGAAGTTTGGACCTTAAAAGCTGAACAAAAGCTAGCTTTGAATGCACTCGAAATGGACTATTTGAGACGCAGTGCGAGAGTATCTAAACTGGACAGAGTTAGGAACGTGGAAATCAGAGCCAAAATGGATGCCACACAGACAATAGTGGATAGAGTCGAACAGAGGGGCCTTAAGTTGTTTGGACACTTGCTACGCATGGAACACCAAAGATGGCCCTACAGTATCTACAGCTGGTCGCCTCCTGGAAAAAGGAAAAGAGGACGGCCTAGAAGATCCTGGAATGAGGCGATTAGAAGAGCAATGGAGGACCGTAACTTGGAAGAGGAAGATGTTCTTGATCGTAACAGATGGCGCGGCAGTTAGGCGTGGGGATGCGACGCTAGTTGCGACAACCCTGGAGTATATATATAAAATTATAATAAATCGAAAGATTATTAAGATTTTAACCATATTTTAACACTCTATAGCTACGAAGCAAAGCAGAATCGGACCTATGTTGCTATGAAAAATAAATCTTATTTTTACGTGAGGAATCTCCCAGGTTTTTTGAAAAACCCTGTATAAAAAAAAGAAAAAAAAAACAGCTGTAATAATGTCTTCATCTGAAAAGCCTATAAACGTTTACTTTTTTATCTGTTTAATCATCTGGTCGTGATCTGCTTCAATAAATAAGCTTCTTTGTAATTATAGACGCCAAAATAAGTTAATATCCCGTCAACGTTGACCATTCAATTAAGCGAGCTCTAAAGTACCAAAAAAAAACGAATCTTTCGATCATTCATTGCTCGGAAGTGTTTACTACGCCGAGAAGTGTGTCAAACTCGAGAGCAGGTGGCAGTACCACAAAATCTCATTCGAATAGTATCGACCGACCGTTTTACAGTTAGGTCGTACCGATCGACCACGATATTTTTATTTGTTTTTTCGCCATTTACTTTCCTTCGCATCACTGCTAAATTTAGATGAAGTTTCTAAAATGTCTTTATCCAACGGTATATTTCCCGGACAATATTTTTACTTGTTACCGAAAATGTAGGACATCGTTTATTCATCGATTGATTAGAGAATTTTAGATTCTAGTTCTTGGAGATTAAAGAAAAATACATATTTTTAAGCAAGGGTTCATCTCCCTCTCTTCACCTCATGATTATTTTTTATAAAGATTATAAATAAAAGTATTACTGAACAAATTAAATACCTATAAATCCCATCAAACATAGAATGTAAAAAAATGCCAAGTCTCGCAATACAATTCTTCCACTATAAAAAGTTGTGAGACCTCATGTAAAACCAAATCAGCTTGTTTTATTTAGTTTCTCTTTAAGCACCTATTCAACAATTTTGTTACAAATTGTTAGTATCAATATTTGTTGGTATCTTTATTTCTGTCAGAATTATAAATGACTTGGCAACTGCACGATATGATATTCTCTGCTAATTAATAAACTTTATTCTTAAGGGCACTACTGTTTAGATTTACTTAGTAATCAAACTGGTAGATTATTTTCTTTCAATTATGGTGGTGTGCAATTGTCTACTCTGATATACTAATATATCAGTGTAACTTTAAAAACAAATCCTTTGAAATCAAATATAAACATAAAAAATATTTACATCAGAAAAGGCAAAGGCGCTGGGTTAAACGTAGTCTCTACTAAGAACACGGAGGGGCGCTTTGACCCACCCTTTTGGCGCTTTGACCCCCCCCCCTTTACTATTAAGTTTCATATCTATCTTAATAGAAGATTATTTTCTTTTATCTATGGTTGTGATGGAAATAAGTCACTTTGTACAAAAATTAAATTTATAACCATGGCTACCAATTTCTTTCCACTTCATTTAATGTCATCCAATGTCATCGAAATTTCATAAATATTCGAAATGAGAATTTATATATCTGTTGTTTTTTGCATAATTAACAGCGGGTATTGTATGGACTGGTGCGCTTTAAATTGTAATAGAGGAGAACATATAGCATGTACACTAAAGGGAGATTGTAGCGTAACAGAGCCATGCACTTTTATGACTCTCAATAAGGAAAAAATACTTAAATCCCATAATGCCTTAAGGTAATATATGTCTATAATTTATTTTTTTCCCATTATCGTTTTTGTATATCATAGTTTGAGAGTCTTGGTCAAATTTTCAAACATATCTGATATACTGAGTGTCTTAATAATCTTAATCCTATGAAATAGTTCATTTGTAGGACAAATAAAACAAGTTTATATTTTTTAGTGTGTGGTATATTTATGATTATTAAATCAAAACATTGGTATTGGACTTTTTTGAAGAGGCGTTGAAGTTGTACTTTCATCTAGAATTTCGTATTATTTGGAATAGGCATTTAAATGTAATTTGCAAAAATCTACCTTCAAATTCAAATTACTAAAAAATTTATAATAATTACAGCCGGGCACAGATAAAGTTACAATTAAAATACCAGCAAAATATGCATTTGTTGCTGTCAAATTCGATGTCACATTTCAGCACCCATGCCAAATTTTCTTATATACCCCTATGATTTTAGTATCAAATGAATGCGTTGCGAGCTTTGAATAAGAAGACTAAGGAAGGAGCATATCAAAAATCTTAGGTACACCGCGATGGGCCTCAAGTATGGCCGACTTAAATTCCGGTTTATCAGTGTCGTTCTAATTTTATTTAAAAAATGTAAAACTATGATGTAGGGTAGACGTGGGGTAGACTCAATAATTTGTTGTTTTATTTTACGTTGTGAATAAATGTTGGTAGTTATTAAAATTGTTATAAAAATATATAATTCTAATAAAAATAGATAAGTTATAATAAGTATTTATTACCACAAACATCCGATACGCTACTGAAGCAGGTAAGTCAAATTAACGTACCTAAATTCTTTGACATCTAATTTTTGACAAGTAATAAATAAAAGCTAAAATGCAAGAAAAATATATAATTTAGTTAATTTAAGTGAATTTTATAAATGAACGGTTTACTACACGTATGTATATTATATAGTCACTTATTAGCGAAAAATTGTTCCATTATTTCACTCAATTTTTGCCGAGATCTACCGCACGCTACACAACCAACTATTTTAGAGTCTTTTTCGATAAATCGCGATAGTGTCACTGTTAAAGTTCTGCCACAATTTCCATCTAGATTTACTACCTTTATACAACTATCAGTAGTAGAATAAATAATAAATAACATAAAATAAGCTCCGTAAAGACTGACAAATCCACCAAATTTCAAATCAAATTCAAATGTGTCAAATGCATCGTCAAACAGAACTGTCAAGGATCCCCACCCTAGAGTGCTTTTATGGCGCTTTTTCCGCCCACCATGCATGAATACATGGATAGCATTATGCTCCTTCCTTAGTCTTCTTATTCAAAGGTTACGAGAGAGAAACATGAAAAATAAATTGACGATTGACTCAAAATAAAACAAGTCTAGCAAATTATTGAGTCTGCTTTATTTTATATTATTACGTTATATTACTATATTACGTTAAAAAAATAGAACGCTACTGGCAACCCGAAAGTCATCCATATTAAAATATTTTTATGATCTCTCGCTAATTATGTTTTAATACTTCTTACTCCATAATAAATCGATTGCAAAATGAATAATAACACAATAAAACAAGATAAACATAGGAAAGCGTAAGGAATTTATTAAATTTTAATTTGTGAAAAAAGTCACCCAAAATTGCCAAAAAGGTGTCTTAAAACGGTTACAATTATGTAGCTCCTGTCTTTAATGTATGAATATAAATATAGTATTTTATTTACAACCACATATGTAATACTGACATTACTAACTTTTAAAAAATTTGAAAGTGTCAAATTATTTACATTTCTTCCCTCTACCATTTCCCTCACTCCCATTTTCTTCACCCAGTTCCCTCACTCGGTTTTTCTTATTTCTCGCCTCATTTAATTAAGCAAAATATTCTTGTAATATCTTTATTAAATACTTATCTAACATCAACAAAAATAAACAAGAAGATTAACAATAATAATTGAAGATTTTAATACATTTATTTAAAAAAAGGCCTTACTTTAATAGGAAGGAATTCTTGAGGTGCATTCGTGAGAAAATCCTCCAAGTTTTGCCTGGTAAAAATGCTAGACTTCTTTGGCTTAAAACCTACATTCTGGCGTTTTAAAAAAGCGACGAGTTTGTGATATTTTGATATGTCAGTCTATTCCCTTAATTCTAGAATTGTCCTTATCATGCTGTACGTAGCCCAAAGAGTAGTTGGCTTTTTCTGCCTTGCCAAGTCGCTAAAATATGCCATCACGACTGTCTTCGAAGCAATATTCTTAGCATTTCTTTCGGCACACTATTTTTCGTATACTTTCAATGCTATTTCATATCGCCCCCTACTTTTCTCTGGAAGTAAACTGGCTTCTGCTCTTTTTGCAGCTTCTGTAAGTTCTGGTGGAGTACCAATATTGAAGTAGTCTTCATTATCAGAACTTTCCGATAACATTCTGGCTTTTTATGTTATATAAATTCGAAAAAGCGATAAAAACGAGAAATTCAAAACTGTCACTTAGTTGTTTGTTTTACTGTTGAAGGGTTTGCGCCATAACAACCACTGGTACCGGTAACTAAAGATATGGAAATACCAAAACAGAAAACGACAAATTTTCGCATATTTTTTTTTTCAAAATAAAATACTGTCCCTATTTTTTAATTAATGATGTGGTTGTAAATAAAATAGTATACAAACCTCGGAGGAAAGTTATCATTATTTTCTCGAGATTAGTTAATCTCTCGACAGTAATGAAACACTTCCCTCCTCGGTATGTAATACACTATTACTTCTTCCTTGCTTTTTTACAATCAATAAGCGCGATCAACAATTTTTTAACCAAGTAGACTTTTTGAGAACTGACAAATAGTTATTTTCTAAAATTGCATCAGAAATTGTTGACATTCAAAATAGTGATCATTTTAAGCCAGTTATGGAGCATTACACTTTTTAACTGTACATTATTTCTTCAATAGGGCTAAGTTTGCCAATGGTAAAGAACCGAAAACTTCAGGATTAACCGTTGCCAATATGCGTAGTCTACGTTGGGATGGTGATCTAGCGTTTACCGCTAGTTGTAATGTAGGTAGATGTCTACTTATGGAACATGATTTTTGTCGTGGAAGTCCAGAGTATCCAGCGGCCGGTCAAAATTTATGGCAGGTACAATTTGCTGGCGAAGGGGATTGCGGATCCAAATACGCAGAAGCAACAAGACTTTGGTAAGCACTCAGATTCTTTGTCTGAACAAAATTCCATGCGAATGTAGTGCCACTTATATCGGTGGGTTTAAGATGACCCTTACCATCAATACGTGTTTCGGATTAAAACAATGTAGCAGGAGATGATATCCCAAATTTTCATATTACAAAATATATATGGAGCAATAAGCATAGGAAATAATGAAGTTCATTATATTATATTATAATAAACTAGTGATGTGTCGGTATTTGAGTAATGCGATTTTGGAGCGGTATTTTTTTGCAATGTCGTTTTGCTCTTGAAGTTAGCTTGAACCGTAGTAACCGCATAGCGACGTGTTTAGCTCCAGCCGTCGCGATTTCGTCGGTCGCCAACAGTAGTAACTGGCACTGATATGTACGTAGCGTCGCGCATGTTAGCTCCAGCCGTCGCGCTCCTAGAGCTGTAGTTCCGCCTGTCGCGAACAGAAGTAACTGGTAACTGATTATCGACGCTCGACTTCGGCGGCGACGTAACTTCTCTCCAGCCGTCGCGCTCCTAGAGCCATAGGTCCGTCTGTCGCGATCAGAAGTAACTGGTCCCTGCTGTAACTGGCCATCTACTGTCGACGCTCGACCTCGGCGGGGACGTATTTCGTTCTAGCAGTCGCTGGAGCGCTTCTAGGGTTCCGGTTTTGTCTGTCGCGATTTGGTTGGTTACGATTGGCGTTGGTGCTCCCGTCGCTATGTTACTTTCGAAATAGTGACTTTTGGTATGTACCTACTAGTGCACACACATTTTTTTTTATTTGGACTTTACCTAATCAAATTTAATTAGGCAAGAATAATTTACGACAAAATAAGAAAAATATGTATTTTATATACCATCCAATCTATAAAATAAATAAACATTGAACAGAACTGTCAAATGAATGTATTATTGACATTTTAATTGATTTTTCGCAGAAGTGTAATCCAGTTTTGAAACCAGTTGGAAACCAACGATCCGCAGAAACAAATTGACAACGGGTTGGATATGTCGCTATGCGGACAAAGCTAACGTCAGTTCTAGAAGATCTTTTATTTCACTCCAATTGTTTTGTTAATTTTTACTAAGTCTTAATTATGTATTACCTTTTAAATATGTTATAATTTAATTATATCGTGTGTTGCATCGCCGAGCTGTACAGGGTGGTCGAGATTGGTCTATTTTAACAGAGAAACCCTATTTCCTGACTAGATAGAGCAAAACCGACATAGATGTCATGGGCTCGATTTCTGAGACACGTTTAGTGGCGTAAACCGCCTGTTGATATTTTCACTGCCAACTGAGATAGGGAGTCTTTTTGAATTTTTTACCATTTGGAAAATTGCCCATAACTTTTGTATTTCGCGGAATAATAAAATTCTGTAAAAACGTTCTTAGGGCACTTTTTTAAGCACAATCCAGTGGCGTAGTCAGTTTTTTTTTTCTGTTTGCTCTTTTTGTCAGAAATAATGAAAAATATAAATTTTTAAATGGAAATCATAGTTGGCTATGAACTTAAAAAATGCTGGGGTTTAATTCTTCCCTTGCTCTATCTAGTCAGGAAATAGGGTTTTTCTGTTAAAACAGACCAATTTCGACCACCCTGTATAACTCTTTATTGATAACATTGCAATTAGAGGGGATGCTTTACGGGATCACTATTCTAATCAGGACCGTATTATTTTTTTGATTAATTTAGTATTTTTGTATCTGTCATAACTCAAGAACATATTTGTATAAATCATTCAAAATGAACAATTTATTTCATTTCAAGGATTCTTTATAAAGTTTCAAATACATTTTTCTGTAAAATAAAATGGGAAAAACTTATTAATTTATATGGGATTTCCTATGTCTCCTATATTGAGGTCGGCGATGCAACAGACTGTATGAATATTAAATATATAAAAAATAATTCAAATTGTAGGTATGATGAAATCAGTCTTCTAAACAAGGATCAAATAAAAGAAATGGCTAGCGCTTATCAAGCGATCCAAGGAACTGGACATTTTACTCAAATCATTTGGGCCGAAACAGAAGCTATAGGATGTGCAATGACACAAAAAAAGGAAGAAGGAAATACGATTTGCAATTTAGCTTGTAACTATGGACCAGCTGGTAATGTGGACACGGGTGAAATGTTAGCCGAAGGTGCACCGTGTAGTATGTGTCCTGAAGGTACCAGATGTGGGGATGGTCTGTGCGGATCTGCTGTAAAATATTATCCTATTTTGACAATTTATGCTATGGTTCTGTTTTTAATTATTTTAAATGTTCTGTGAGAGTTCTATCATGTTAGTTAGTTATACGTTATGTTTTCTGTAAATTAAGTACAGAAATTAAGTGTTTACGTAAAGTGTAACATGTAAAATACAAATAAATTGAAAGCCATTGTAGTTTTATTTATCTAGGTTTGTTTTGTACAGTACGTCTATCCGTTCTGTAGCTACGGGGCATCCGTAAGGGAGGAAACGATATTTTATCGATGTTTCTCGTAAAAAATTAGACGAATCGTCCCATCAATAAAAATTCTCAAATTTGCAAGTAGCCAATGAAATGAGTGTGCGGAATATTTTGCGGTGACATAAGCTTCATTCAGAACCTCGAAATCAGTGGAATAAATTAGTAGTTTCAATTAGCCGTAGAAGTTTGTTCACCTAATTTTAATGTAAGCATTCAGAACGTCATAATTAATGATAGTACTTTTCAATTAATGGAAAAAGTTAACAAACTTTTGACTTTTCCACTAATTACACTTCAAAATTTGCGAGGAATATCATTTTGGTCTTTGATTATCACCCGTCCTTTGAATAAGAAGACTAAGGAAGGAGCGTAATGTTGGACGGAAAAAGCTCTCTAGGGTGGGGATCCTTGACAGTTCTGTTTGACGATTCATTTGACACATTTGAATTTGATTTGAAATTTTGTGGATTTGTCAGTCTTTACGGAGCTTATTTTATGTTATTTATTATTTATTCTACTACTGATAGTTGTATAAAGGTAGTAAATCTAGATGGAAATTGTGGCAGAACTTAAATTAACAGTGACACTATCGCGATTTATCGAAAAAGACTCTAAAATAGTTGGTTGTGTAGCGTGCGGTAGATCTCGGCAAAAATTGAGTGAAGCTAGTAAGTGATTATATAATATACATACGTGTAGTAAACCGATCATTTATGAAATTCACTTAAATTAACTAAATTATATATTTTTCTTGCATTTTAGCTTTTATTTATTACTTGTCAAAGATTAGATGTCAAAGAATTTAGATACGTTAATTTGACTTACCTGCTTCAGTAGCGTATCGGATGTTTGTGTCAATAAATACTTATTATAACTTATCAGATCACAGAATCATCGAGTTCAAATTAGGAGGAATCACACCCCAAACAGAAACTCGAAGGAATCCAAGAAAAACAGACTGGGACATGTATAACACCAATCTCGTAGACAACCTAAACCGTATAGATGCAAGTAGGGCCAGAAACCATCTGCATCTAGAATGGTACGAAAGGGAAGTCAGCGGTGCAATATTGGATGCATACGAATCTAGTTGCCCCGCAAGTAAAGGCATACAAAAAAGTAACAACAAGCCCTGGTGGAACAAGAAGTTGGCCAATCTTAGATCGGAGGTCCGCCGACTCTTTAATAGAGCTAAATCCAGTGCCGAATGGCAGCTCTACAGCGAGAAATTAACTGAGTATAATGAGATAAGAAGAGCAAAGCGGTCTGACTTTAGATCCTTTTGCGAAAACATCACTTCTACTCCTGATGCAGCTAGATTACATAAAGCTATGGCCAAGAGTGGATCTATCCTCAACATGGCACTTAAGAAATCTGACGGAAGCTACACGGAGGGAGAGGAAGAGAGAGCAAATCTCCTACTTTATATACACTTTCCAGGTAGCATACCTATTGATACTCATGTAGCTCCCACTGAACCCCACAATCCTTGCAGGGAAGATTGGGAAGTGGCCAAGCTAGTAATAACAGAACAAAAACTGAAATGGGCGATCGACACCTTTCAGCCCTATAAAGCAGCAGGAGTAGATGGGACCTTTCCTGCCCTTCTAAAGGAAGGTCAGCAAATAGCTACTCACCATCTACTAAGCATTACAAGAAGCAGTCTAGCGATGGGATATATACCAACCACATGGAGAAGAGCAAAAGTAATCTTCATACCCAAAATAGACAAAACTGACTGGACAAATCCCAAGTCATTTAGGCCTATTAGTCTCACATCGTTCATACTAAAAACGCTGGAGAAAGTAGTTGACAACCATATTGGAGAAAATCATCTAAAGGTTAAACCACTGCATGATAGTCAGCATGCATATAGAACGGGCAGATCCACAGAAACTGCTCTGTACCAATTAACGGAGCTAATACAGACAAGTCTGGATAGCAAAGAAACAGCAATTTGTGCCTTCTTGGATATTGCGGGGGCGTTTGACAATATACCACATAAGGTGGTCAGGCGATCTCTAGAAACAAGAGGGGTGAACAGAACTATTATTCGCTGGTTTTGGGAAATGCTGTCAACACGAACAGCAGAGGCTCAGATGGGCACCAAAACTGTAGCTGTTAAAACAACGCAAGGAACTCCACAAGGTGGAGTAACCTCCCCTTTGCTGTGGAGCTTGGTGGTGGATGAACTACTAGATGAATTAACTCTAGCGGGAATACACTGCATTGGGTATGCAGATGACATAGTCATGATCGCTCGGGGGAAACATGAAGGCACCTTGTGTGATATTATCCAAAGAGGACTCCGTATCACTGAGAGATGGTGTAGGACTGTCGGGCTGAGTATCAACTCAGACAAAACCGCGATAGTGCCATTCACCAGAAGGCGAAGTCTGAAAAACTTGAAAAGAATCCAACTAGATGGAAAGGAAATACTGCCAACACAGGAAGTTAAATACCTGGGAATAACCCTGGACAGTAAACTCCTGTGGAACAGGCATATTAAGAACACTACCAGCAAAGCCATAAAGGCTCTCATGATATGCAGAAGACTGGCCGGAAATAGATGGGGCTGCTCCCCTAACATTTTGCGCTGGATGTATACCATGATAGTAAGACCCATGATTACTTATGGAGCAGTTGCCTGGTACACAAAAACTAGAGCAACGGACGGCAAGGCTAAACCTATGCAAAGTCCAGAGACTAGCATGTGTTTGCATCACAGGAGCCATGAGAACCTGTCCAACAGCAGCAATGGAGGTCATTCTAGATCTAACACCACTGCACATTGTCATTGGTAGATATGCCAATGCGACAATGATTAGAATGGTCACTAACGGAATTAGTACTGGGAGAATTGTCAGATCAGGGGCTTGGAACACCCTCAAAAAGGAAATACCACTCCTGCAACTCCCAGTGGACGATATGCCAAGAACGTACAACTTTGGCAAACAGGTCAATGTAGTATGGAGCAATAAGAAGGATTGAAGTTAAAAGACCATACCATAACTTGGTATACTGATGCTTCCAAAACCAATACGGGAACAGGGATCGGAGTGTTTGGGCCGAGAGCTAATTACTCCGAACCAATGGGCACTTACCCTAGTATCCTACAGGCAGAAATCTACGCTATCGAGAGATGCGTACAACTTATCTTAGATAGGAACTATCGGAAACAAGAAATAGCCATCTTATCTGATAGTCAAGCAGCGTTAAAGGCGATCAACTCAGTCTCAATCAATTCGAAATTGGTCAAAGAATACATAGAGAAGCTGAATAAATTAGGCAAAGAAAACAAAGTCCTCCTACACTGGGTGCCTGCTCACCAAGGGATAAAAGGCAATGAAAAAGCAAATAATCTAGGTAGAAAAGGAGCGAACACTCCACTAACTGGACCAGAACCGTTCTGCTTTCCAAGTGGTAACCAACTCAAGGAGGAACTCAAGAACTTGGAAGATTCCATCCGCAACCTGGAATGGAAATCTTGCAATGGTCTAGGACACTCGAAGAAGTTTCTGAGGGCTTATGATCAATAAAAATCACAGATCTTCCTAGGTCTGAGTAAGAACAATCTTCGGATTGTCACGGGGTTTTTAACAGGACACTGTCTCCTCAATGAACACCTCAGTAGATTGAAACTAAGAAGAAACGGCGAATGCAGATTCTGTGGGGAAAATGAGGAAACACCAGTACACCTTATCACTGAGTGCGCCGAGACGACAACCATTCGTCCCATGAACTTTGGTACAACTGATATGGAGATGGAGAACTACCCTCTATAAAACCGTCACAGATACTGGCTTTTGTCAAAGCCCTGGGACTGTATGATGAGTTATGATTCAAGAAAGGGGGACACAATGGATCTGTAAGGTCGAAGTGATTAACCCCCCTCCCACTCATTCTAAATTCTAAAAATTCTATTATAACTTATCTATTTTTATTAGAATTATATATTTTTATAACAATTTTAATAACTACCAACATTTATTCACAACTTAAAATAAAACAACAAATTATTGAGTCTACCCCACGTCTACCCTACATCATAGTTTAAAATTAGAACGACACTGATAAACCGGAATTTAAGTCGGCCATATTTGAGGCCCATCGCGGTGTACCTAAGATTTTTGATATGCTCCTTCCTTAGTCTTCTTATTCAACGCACTCGTCAAGAAAAATTTTGGTTAGAAACTTTGAATAAGAAGACTAAGGAAGGAGCATATAAAAAATCTTAGGTACACCGCGATGGACCTCAAATATGGCCGACTTAAATTCCGGTTTATCAGTGTCGTTCTAATTTTATTTAAAAAATGTAAAACTATGATGTAGGGTAGACGTGGGGTAGACTCAATAATTTGTTGTTTTATTTTACGTTGTGAATAAATGTTGGTAGTTATTAAAATTGTTATAAAAATATATAATTGTAATAAAAATAGATAAGTTATAATAAGTATTTATTAACACAAACATCCGATACGCTACTGAAGCAGGTAAGTCAAATTAACATATCTAAATTCTTTGACATTAAATCTTTGACAAGTAATAAATAAAAGCTAAAATGCAAGAAAAATATATAATTTAGTTAATTTAAGTGAATTTCATAAATGATCGGTTTACTACACGTATGTATATTATACCTATAGTTACTTACTAGCGAAAAGTTGTTCCATTATTTCACTCAATTTTTGCCGAGATCTACCGCACGCTACACAACCAACTATTTTAGAGTCTTTTTCGATAAATCGCGATAGTGTCACTGTTAATTTAAGTTCTGCCACAATTTCCATCTAGATTTACTACCTTTATACAACTATCAGTAGTAGAATAAATGATAAATAACATAAAATAAGCTCCGTAAAGACTGACAAATCCACAAAATTTCAAATCAAATTCAAATGTGTCAAATGAATCGTCAAACA